GTAAAGGTACCAAATACCGATTACACAGCAACATCAATAAAAAAGAAATGATAGATTGGATTAACTCAACAGTTGAACTCATTATGAATAGTTACATCAAAAAATACAAAATTAAAAATGAAGAATTCAAAAATATAAAAACTTTTCTTCTAAAAAAATTCAAACACAGATTCAAACCACTTCTTTATAAAAGAAAACTGAATAATAAACAATACCTAAACGAACAAAATTACAACTTTGAAAATAAATATATCAAAAACTTTAAAAAGCATTTCGTAATTTGTCCGTTAGATAAAGCAAATAATAATTTTGGTATAATTTGCATAAAGCTATACATCCAAACCATAATGAAAGAATTAGGTATCGCTTATAACAACAAAAAAATAATATTTGATGCAAACGAAACTTATAACCTATGCAAAGAAAATGCCAATGATATAATAGAAAAACACATAAAATTTTGCGATAGCAACAAATTACCATCACAAAATATAAGTAACATTCCATTAATATACTGTCTACCAAAACTCCATAAAAACCCTATCAAATTTAGATTCATTACTGGAGCTACGCATAGTAGCATTAAACCACTAGCTTTAGAATTAAGGTATCTCTTTCAATACATCAAAACACATTTTAAAAACTATGTACAAACTATAAAAAACAAAAAATATTCTTATAATTATTGGTCTATAGACAATATCGATATCAGTAACAAACTATCGAATATCAACATGAACAACATGCAAATATATTCAGCTGATTTTACTAATATGTTTACAAGTCTACCACATAGCATAATAAAAACAAATCTTAAAGAACTTCTTTCACTATGCTTCAAAAATGCAAACAAAAAATACTTAACGTATAATGGTTTTAATAAAATATATTATACCGATACTATAAACACAAATTCAAAAAATAGGTACTACACTATTGCTGATTTATTATATTACATAGATTATATCCTTGACAACAGTTTTTGTAGATTTAGTACGTACATCCTAAAACAAAAAGTTGGTGTACCACAGGGAGGTAATTTTAGTTCTTTAATGGCAGATCTCACGTTATTTTGGTATGAATATAAATACTTGATTCAGAAAACCAATTACAATAATCACTTTTATGTATTCCGATATATGGACGATTTATTAATCATACATAACAGCACAGAAACTGAAGTTCATAATACAATCATCAACGTATATGAAAACAAACTAGATTTAGATACTACACACGAGGATAAATTCAACTGTAATTATCTCGACTTAAACATTACAATTGTTAATGACAAGATAGTGACCAAAATGTATAATAAGACAGATAGTTTTCATTTTCAAGTAAAAAAATATATACACATGACTTCTAATGTTTCCATCCATATCAAAAAAGCTATAGTTTACACAGAAACTTTAAGAATTGCACGCACCTATTTTAGTGATTTTGTTGAGAAAGTGTTACAACTGAGAAACATACTTATCTTACATACTCTAATGGTTACGATGAAAACATAATTCTTTCAAATATTTTCAAATGTCTACATAAAAATAAGTTCATACTATATAAATATGAATTTCACAATTACAATAAAACTAAAAATCTATTTCACATTCTACATCAAAAAAATACATTAGGATCAAAGTAATATCTAATGCCTTGAACCAGTATTTGTCAAAATACATAAATATTTCATCTCACTTTATATTTCTAACCAATAATCGTTCGTTCTTATTACCATAAGTGACTATTATATAAGAAACATAACGAACAGCCGACTTGATCATTGATTCCATTATAAATGAATCAATATTATGACAAAAAATTTACTTACAAAAATACACAAATATGTCTCACTTAATACTCAAAAGATTTCTATTCACGGCGGCTATTCAGACTATTATATTATTTATCTATACACAATATACGATAAGATCATCAATATGTAAGTTAAATTTGATCGTTTAAGTTTAACATTTAGCAAAAATTTTGATATATAATAGAACAGGTTCACGGGCTCTCCTTCCTTACTGAGGAGTTCCGGGGAGAGCCCGGAGTTCCTGTACTCCGTCTAAGGGCAGGAACGAAACGGAGTTAAAACTTACATACAGAATTTACATATAAAATGGTTTCTAGTTTATAAGTAACACACTTTGTGTATAACCATCTCTATTTTTATCACTATTACACATTTAAAAAATTGAATGGTGATAAGAAGTTGATTTAGTGCCACTTTTTTCAACCGATATACATAATCGTCTTTTCCAAAGTGAAAGATAGGGGAAGAGAGATACAACGTTCGCATAGTGAGATACAAATGCGCAACAGCTTTTACTCTCCATTTTCTGACATGACTCATACTAAACCCTAGGATATAAAGCTGCATGTACATAATTTTTCTGTATTGCGATTTTCTTCTCTCGGTCTAACTCGTTTTGCTTCAGTTCAAAGACATAAGGTTTATTTATGAAATAGTGGCAAGTTTCTACAGCGGTCTTTACGCCCACAGGAGCGTAATACTCTCATACAAGAAGGCTTCACACCTCAACGCTAGCTCAGTCACTTCCAGAGTCTGATTACTATCATACCTGAGCAAAAAAACCATTCGAGTAGAGATTAAAACCAAGAAAATGCGGTTGCCGGAAGGTGCGTGCGTGTCGCGCGGTCGAGTCATCGTCACGATTTTTCGAATGCCCTATACATTATCAACTATGGCATGCGTGTTATCATTGCTATAATCTCAAAATTCTTAATTTGTCTGCGGGGCAATAAAATCTTGTACATATTCGCAATTACCTATTCTAATAGTCAAGGTTTGACAATTTTACTAATATTCAAGGCATATTTTCATTCTCTCTCGAGCAGCTATGTTTGGAACCAATTTTCTGCCGGGCCTCAAAAATTCTCAACATCATCTTACCTTTTGGTTCAAAATTCTTGAAATACATTTGATAACCGGCACGCAGAGCAAAGAATTTGCAATTCATTGCTTTTCGACATCTCTCCAGCTCTCTTCTCAATTTTTTGTATGAATTTCTGCAAACAGTGCATTTTCCTGATGGCGTGTTGCATGTTTGCACCAAAAAAATGTGAACAAAATAACGAAGTTTTTGTAAACAACAAGTACAAATTTCACAAAGTATAAGGGCGATCACAGCTTTAATATGAAAGCTTTGACTGCTCAGGTATATCCGTACGCAGTGTCTGAAATCCATCAAAAAACATGAAACTACGTAAGTTAGACACCATAAAATCAATGAGTGGAAGCTTCAAAAATATTTGAGCGATTGTTATTTTTTCGACGGACGTGGTTTTTCCGCCGTTTAGATATTTTTGAAGCTTTGAAAAGAATTTCTCAAATTGCCGCCGCGTTATATCAAGTTGTCTCAAAAGCAAAATCCTTTTTTAATAACTTAAGCTGTTCTTGCTTTAGTACACTTGGGGTATCATTCGATAGAGCAGAGCAAGCTTTACAAAATGGCCACTAAGGGTCCGCCTAAACTGCATTCCATATAAAGGTTGAAGCCAAAATCGAAAAAAATTTTGTCACCTGAAAGTTGGATTTCCGCAAGGAAGAACCTACGGACCTCAACTTGGTCATTATACAGTAGGTACATAGTAGTACTTAAATATGCCTTTACTGAATTTTTTACGCACATAGGAAGCGAGAAAAAAACGATTCAGAAATGGCAAACTCCGCTCCCAGCCTGCCCACATATGTCATTGTAAACTACAAGCCTTCCTAGGTATAATCAATCTCAAAACTTCAGCTCTGTATGTGCTCTCATGATTGAGAAATACTTCTACATGAAAAACCCGAAAGAAGTGGCATTCTGGCATTTTAGGACCATCTTTGTTTCTCAATTTTGAACCCCTGAAAAAATCCGCCAAATACATTTTTGGGTACTACTATGTGTCGATTATATAAAGATCAAGTTTGAAGTTTTTTCTGAAAGGAAATCCGATTTTTATGGTAGCTGAAAAATTCTGTTATTTGGCTCCAAATTTTGCTTGGATTACAATTTGAGTGGATCCTTGGTGATCTTATTGTAGGGCTCGCTCAGCTCTTTTGAATGGTTCCCTAAGCTTGTCAGGAAAACAAAAACACTCAGTTCTGAAAATGGAGTTTACTTTTGGGACAACCTAATAGTTGCCCGCCGAATGTAACTTACTGAGTGCAGCCTCGCAGTACTACTTCATCCGCGTGCGCAGAAAAAGATACCCGAGTAATTTTGTCAAATAAGCTGGAGTGTAAGCGTAGTATTAAAGCAGGAATAATACTATCAATTGAAGGATAGTTTCATTTTGCTACTATTTCTGCATTGAGACACAAACACAAAATATTAAGCAGACAGCATTTACCAGCGAACTAGTCGACCAGCTGAAATCTGACAAAAAACGTTTTGCTGGCAGAAATGATTTAATTATTGGGAATGTCATTTTACTCATCCTTGAAATTTTTCTTGCATCAAGTAGTCAGATATTCTGAGCATAGCCTGTGCAGCAAATGTAGCACAAGTGGTGTGATTCATTTCCTGCTTACATTGTACGATTCACATCATCAGTATACACTAGGGTGATCCTAAACTATGCTTGCTCCCAGAGATGGAATACCGTATAGGCTGATTTTCTTGTCATTGAGAGGAATACCGGGGAAAAGTTGATCATTATTTGGACTTCCAAAGTAACAGGAAAACCGAGGCTCTTTTTTCCTTCTATGGTTAATACTCATAAACATATCGAGCGCAGAGTTCACCTTACAGGGAAGAAAGGAAAGATCCTTTTTTTTTCACTTTTCAGACTCTGAAGAGGGCGAGTTTTGCCGAAATGTCAGTCTGTATATTGTGGAATAAATATCTGTACCAAAAGAAAGATTTTGGCTATTTTGACAGTGATTCCACATTGTGATGAAGACAATTCTAGTTCGTGAAATTTTCCACGACTGAGATGTTTTCGCGTACTCAGTCAGCTAGGAAAAATACCATTGCCGTGTATAATTTTTATTACTGGAAAGGATAAATGTCAGAAATTTCTGAGAGCTCTTCCAATGGATAAGGGTCATGTGAGGAAGCTACAGTTTCAACAGAATTGCTTGCGTTTCTCACAGTCAATTGACATGAATTTCTGTCGAGAATGATGGCTTCCGGCAAAGGAACTTTCGCCTCAGCATCTTCCCTTCTTTTCTTTTGTCGCCTGTTGCAGAACCAAATACGGACTACCTGCAATCCATTTTTGCTCAAAAGCTTAAGACTACCGTTGCACTCAGTGCATGCGTACTCTTTACCAGATGTTGTACCTGATAACTGAGATTCAACTCATGCGCAAGCTTCATCAGTATTTCTTGATCGGGTAAGGGATTCGCAGCAAAATGACCTTCCAGGTAAGTTTTCACTGCATCCTATTTGACATTTTTATAATTTACGCAGTCTTGATTGTGGGATACCTCGAAGAACGTCCTTCGCTTTCTCATTTTCTTCTTGTTGGAGCTCGGTTCGTTGCTATTTGAAGAGCTCACGTATGAGCTATCAACTTTTTTCAGCCATGATTCAAGAGCGTATCTTAGCTCACACATTTTCTGCAACTTCTCAAAAAATAAGTAAATCCGGCAGGACATCTATAGAACGTCAGCCGATATCATTTGAGATAACAGCTCTACAAGTGTAGGTTGTTTCAATAGAAGTTTTATGGCGAAAATATCGCGCGAAATGCAAACAAACGGACGACTTCGCAACATTCAAAACGACTCGTTGCCTCCTCCAACAAATCCAAACACGGAACCGCGTCCAAGTGAAAATAAGCAAAGTAGAAAAAAAGCTCTGCAAGCGCCACCTTCGTCTGATGCCCGTTCAAGGTGTGCTTAACACAAAGAAGGGAGCTTCATGATGTACGGACCTAGACTAGAGGAGCGTCGGCATCTGGATTTCGAAGGCTTTCTACTCGCTTCCTCTCCGCACTTGGGCGATACCGTTGCCCAAACGTCTACATAGTCTTGACTGCTTCAAAAACCCAGAGACCCAACTCCGCCCGGACACCGTCTTTGAGCTTGAAGGCAGCGGCTCAGCAGAATGACAACTTTGGGATATTCATTGTTCTTGACTCCCCTGGATGAGCTGAGTCTGGATCTGTGCTTTATAGCTTTCAAAAATAACATTTCGCTTTCCCGAACATGAAAAGTGGTGTTTGGGCGGATCGCGAAAGTGGCTGCTGAAGCCAATAAACCAATTGCAGCCGAGATGAGTACGGTGTCTCCACTCATGAGCCAAGCGCTCTAGAGGGCAGGCTTACGCCGTCCGCCCAGATAGCCTTTTCACGTCTGGAAAACGGGTTATTGATATCTTTTGAAGCTGCAAAGCACATCTTGGACTTATCTTGTCCAGAGGTCCGAGAATGATGAATATCCCAAAATTGTCATTCTGTCGAGCCGCTGCCTTTAAGGCATCCGGACAAGGTGAGGGTTTCAAGATCTCATGCCATGCGAAAGTGGGTTCCCTCGCACGTGTCGCGCAACTACGAGGTCATAAAGTTTAACCAGAACCACAAAATACAGTCGAAAATTTGGGGAAGTTACGCCCTGAGGGCGAGCCTTCCATCTGATTGAATTGCTCTGTGGCGGAGTACGCATGCCGCTGCAGTCAAAGTCGTAGGATCCTGAAGCGTCTACGTCTCTGCCTTGGCTGATCTAACGAATTCCAAATTGTAAGGCTTTGAAAAGAGCATGCTCTCGCCGCTTTCGCGCTCTCTGACGGTTTCGGTTTTGGATAAACCCAGGTAAGCGAAGTTGCTAGAAATCAAATTCTTGCCCGGACACTGTCTTTAACAAGTCCTTGCAAATGATGAAAGGAGCATCGAACACGGTAGACGGTGTTATAGCGATTGCTTCGATGGGCACAATACCATTGATTGCTCCTTGTTTTGAAAGTAAAACAAACCAGTGCGTCACTTCTGCTTCGTAGAGTTCGCACTGGTTCTACTAACCATATGCTTTCCTCGTGCTCGCGTAGTAATGACTTTGGAACTCAGGCAGGCGCTATACTCCTCGAGGAGTATAGCATGGCGACGATCGATATGCATCAAATACGTGTAAAACCGGCGATTTTTGTCGCCGATATTGGTGATCGCCAGTCGTAACGACCGGCGATCGCCCATCGTAGCGACTTGCAATCGCCAGTCGCCAGTGTTGGCGACTACACATTAAATGTGTATCGATTGGACGTGCGATAACTTGTTGGCGATCGATACGCATAGAAAACACAGTCGCCAGTAGTGGCGACTGGCGATCGCCAGTCGTTACGATGGGCGATCGCCCGTTGCCATGCTATACTCCTCGAGGAGTATAGCGCCTGCCTCACCGCGCAATACTAACCATCACGAACGGACTGTAAACAACTACTTATTCCAAAAGTTGCCCCATGTAAAATCGGTGACTTTGGGAGAAACAAACGTTTTTGCAGGTGAACAAATTCGGATTTGAATCACTTCCCTGATTTATTTTGGCTTGGAATTCGCCGTGAGGACGATAGCCACCGTAAGCTAGACCTCCTAGCAAATATCCTCTCATTTTCTTGAATGAAATCATGACAAATCGACAGTCTACGCGATCATTGCTTTTTGGCCCATTTTGGAAAAAATTGTAAGTTTTGGTGATTTTTTGAGCTTAAGCCGATGGCTTGCGGGTATACATGTCAGCATAGGTGCGATAGTATGAGAATTTGCTCACCCCCTCTTCACCCCTGAACCGGGACCAAGGTGACTCCCTTCACCAAAAGCCGAGAAAAAAGTCAACAGTGAGGTAAGGAAGCAAAGGAGATATTTGTACGGGAACTGTTTGTGTATCGGGAAGGAGGAAGAAGATTTACAGGGATTCACGATCTTCAGAAGGAAAAAATAGTAGCTTCTGTAGTTGCACAGCAACGTCAGCGAGGAAAGTTTCGTGGAACAATGTTCCCCTCTGGTTTCGGGGAATGAGTAGTTTGAGATTCCATCATAAAGGTGCCTAGTGATTTCTGGACACTTACGAATTTTTAACATAAAAAAAATCATAAATTTTGTAGATGAATAGCTGGTACAAGGAAATAGCCATCATCGGAGCCGCTTCGTTCTCCGCTTTCATTTATTCAAAAAAGTGCTTGGGTGAAGGGTGTGCCTAGTGATTTTTAAAGATATTTGAGTTTTTGACATTAAAAAATTCATAACTTTTGTAGATGAATATCTTGTACGCCGAAATAGACACCATTAGAACCGACTCGTCCTCCGCTTTCGGAAGATATATACTTTGCCTGGGGTCTGCTAAAAAGTGCCGGGTGAAGGGTTGATGAGACCTTTATAATGGGAGCGCTCAAGTAGACGTCTTTTCACAATGGTAAAAAAGCCTCCACTTGAGCACTCCCATTATAAAAGTCTCACCCACCCTTCACCCGGCACTTTTTAAACGGACCCCAGGAAAGTATATATTTTCTGAAAGCGGAGGACGAGTCGGTTCCAATGGTGACTATTTCGGCATACAAGATGTTCATCTACAATAGTTATGAATTCTTCTATGCTAAAAACTCGAAAATATCCAGAAATCACTACCCACAAGCTTCGCCAGGCACTTTTTTGAAATGACTCCAGATAAACTCTCCCAGACAAACTATATAATTCCTGAAAGCGGAAGAAAAGTTGGTTCTGGAATTAATTTCTTTGCTGACGATGCTGTTCATCTAAAGCAGTTATGAATTTTTTCTTTCAAAAATTTGTGAATGCTCAAAAATTGTCTACCTCATTCCCGAAACAGATGTTCTTGCGTACACATCTTCCACTCTTGGGCATTTTCGAAAACAGACAGTTTTTGTAGGTCAGTCCTGCTTCAGTCTTCACAAAAAGACAGCAAATGATTGTAGTGTATTGAACATGATAAAATGTTGATTAGGGAGAATGATGAGAGAACACCATCACTCCCCTCCCCCTGAGAGACGGTCAAGAGGCGCTATTTCTTCGGCTGTCACCAACTTAGAACTCTAGTTTAGTGCTATGCGAGTCTTTAAAAATTACCAGATAAAGTGCATTAGCTCACTATCTATCTGAGGTAACCACTTGCTGAGTTTCATGATTTTTGCTATAAATCGGACTGAAATGTTTACGAATTTGCTCTGAAATGCATTTTCATGAGGTTTTGACCTTCAAAATTGTTGTTTTGAAATTCTTCTAGAGTATCAAGATTAAACAGCTCTGCAACTATCTAATATATCTTCTTCCAAATTTCATATACTTTTAGAAAGTTGTAGAACACTTATTATGTGCTATTTGGTGCCCAGCTGGCAATAGAAATCGCGCCTCTTGACACACATCCCCTCCCCCTCCCCCCCCTCCCCCTTCGGTCAACATTTTACAATTTCTTTATTAAATGAAACACCCTTCACCCTGGAGGGGCTACGACCACTGTGACTGACTCGCTTCACCCTGGAGGAGTCACTCTCACCTTATCACACCTATGCATGTCAGATATACTCGCGATTTTGTAAAAAGCCAAAATACGGCCCCCGTTTTGCGGACCAATGCCACACACAGAACGGACGGTCTTAGCGCGGAACACTTTATTATAAGTCATGATAGGCTTGTTTTTGGAAGTTCAATATCATGTTTAGAACGAGTGAAATATTGACACGTAGCGAACGTAGAGATACAAGTTCCATATTTTCTTGCTTCTAATTTCGAACGAGATTACTGTGTATGGAGGGTCCAGTGTAGGTAAGAAGCTCTCTTTGGCAGTATTCGGCCTCCATACTAAAAACTCTTTCTTTGGATTTCCGATCCCAGAGCCGACTTCAAAATTGTTTCGTAAAATTTTGCAGGTTAAAAGGCGAATTCGGTCTCCACAAACACTGTTTGCTCGGCCCGCCCGTAACTTCGTCCATCATTCTATCCAAAGCAGAAAGGGCATGCACAAATTTTTTCAACGATTTTGGCAAATCTTTGGTTCATTCCGAGTTTTACTCCAGTTTTATGGTTGCGTTGTTCTGGTTTTGAATGGGAAAATTTGGAAAGATGGTATGCTTTGGGGGAGCAAGAGTTCTGCACAGGGATTGTAATCAATGAGCATTACAACCTACGGCTTGTCTTACCTTCAAGCACAATAAACCATTTTCAAACCGGGATATAGTTGTCTGCGAGTATCTCAGATTTGCTGGTAACGCTTCAGAGACATCGGTTTGACTGAAGCTGCAAATGGTGCCAGGACTCAGGATAGTGGCGGCTTCTAGGCAAGATAAATTACCCGAGCTGAATTCTCCGTGTTCTGAAGTTTTTCCTAAAAATTTCCATTTCTTTCACCAAATGAGGAGAAATTTGCAGTGACGTCATACAACTTGATACTGTTGTTTATTGAATTTGGTTTTATATACTATGAAATAGCGTTCAATTCTTCAGTCATAGTTCATCAAGTAAGCTGTAACAGTAATTGTTTTTAAAACAAAACTTTCACTCACTAATACTATGCGGATGAACTTCGTGAACCAGTTGCCCACTCGAAATGGATGTCGAGAATGATTTACATTTGACAAATGATAATTTCATTCCGAAGTACTCGCTGTGGTTAGTACAGGTTCAACGAAGCATGATTTGGTTCACTCCTTCTTCTATGTTCAAGATCCCACCGAATAATAATCATATTGGGTAAGTGGCGCTCGAGAAGAATTTCAAAGAGTGTGGGTGTGGCGTCAATCATGCCCTCTAAAAAAATTTCTGGCAGCTTCGGAACTATTTAGCATGCTTATAGCCCCGATGTTTGAAAAAAAGCGCACTCGACTTTATTTTAATTACTTACAAGTAAAATCAAGACAGTTACAATTTATTGATTTCGCATTAGTCGACTTTTCTAGTAAGGGAAGCTTGTTTATTCGAAGTGGCCTTTCTAAATGAGATGTATACCATATTAAAGGGCATAAAACACTGTTCCAAGCCTCCTTCCTTATCTGCGGAACGTTAATGGACGAGGAGTTATGAGCGTTTTTTGAAGCCAAAAATTGAATGTGCATTTTGGATAAAATGAGTTACTAAAATCTCACTAGCCCTCAAATGATGCAACCAAGTGTGATATGTTTTTTTTAATTTAGAGTATTTTTTGAATGAAGTGTCTAATGATTATCACTGCTCCATTGAAGAGCTAGAAAAAGTATTACGGCTATTTTGTCCTACTTGCATATTCAATTTTTTGCTCCAACAAGCGCTTGTAACTTCTCGTCCTTAGCGCTCTGCAGATAAGGAAGGCAGATTTGGAATTAGCTTGGTATGCACTTCAGTATGGTATACACTCATCTAAAAAGGCCACTTCGACTGAACATGCATTCCTTGTTAGTTACCGTGGGGATATGGTACATATCTATGTCAAAAGTCGAGTTCACTCAAAACTTCACTTCGGGGACTTTTCCAGCATGCTAAATCACCATAAAAACCCCACTGGACAAAGCTTGGAGCAAAAATAGGAGGATTTTGACTCATCCATCGTTACTGAAGGGGTGTAATTTTCGTTGTAGACTAATGTATTCGTATTATTGACTTTTACATTAATTTTTATTTACGGTGTGGTTTTAACCTCAAAATGCGCTACATGCTGTCAATATGGTGTTCGTGAGCAGCAGATATTCAAGGTAACGTAGCCCCCAAGCAAAGTGCGAAACCCGCGCTTTTCTCATCTTGGGCTTCTTCAAGACTTGGGCACACCTAATAGGGTCCAACCGCTGCACGACCCAAATATTCACAACACAGTCGTAAGCACATCTCAAATATACAGGAAATGAAGCATTTCATGGGTCGACGGTCGTTAACGAGCTTTTTGTAGGCCACGGGATTGCAACCGCGTAAGTGTGAAATTACGATATTACGATCGAAACGAGTATATATAGGTATAGTAAGTTTCAACCCGGTATAGGCGGAAACTGAACTGGCGGGAGTCCGTTACGCAACGATTCGCGCCGCTTTGCAGTCTGCGTCTCTTCATGCTAGTCTAGGTATCTTGATGATCCATTGGGGTGCGGACGCGCTGCTCAACTTACGGATCGTTCAGACCGCGCACAAAGGCGCACAAAGGCGCCCAAAGGCGCATCTCGTCTCGTCTCGTTTAGGCTCGTTCCTACTGATCCCGAAGTCCGGGAACAGTTCTAGCACAACGCTCAGTTCGAGCACTGTGCTGGAACTGTTCCCGAACTTCGGAATCAGTATGAACGCGGGTGGAGGAACGAACACCTCAATAAGGCACCGCTTCCGCGGACTAGTGGTTCTAACACGATGCACAACAGTAGAACGAAAGGACCAGCAGCCCGCGCAGGCGGTGCCCAATTGAAGTGTTCGTTCCTCTACCCTATGAACGCAGCCTTATCTCGACACACACACACACGCCTTCGTGCGCCTTTGTGCGCCTTTGTGCGCTGTCTGAACGATCCCTTAATGTTTCGCACTCAAAATGACTATGGTTGAAGACCGTAATTCACTCCATGCTATTGGTCAGATCACTGAATTGACCAATAGCGAACGGATGAACTGGATAAGTCTGGCGCCTGCCTTAGCGCCATACCACTCCGCACTTTTCGTTTCGAGCAGCAGAGCCACTCGTCCATTTCAGATTGACAATGGATGAAGCCTGATTTCGCCACTTTCTTGCCTCTCGAGGGGATTTTCGGGATGAGCGTAATAAGCCCGCAAAACATGGAGGTATGCCGCAGAAATCCGACCAACTGAGTACATCTCCCGTAGCTGCGGCCAAGTTGTAGCAAATGACGATGAAAATTGTCGAGGTGAAGCACGCTTATTTTTGAAATGGTTGACGAACTGGATATCGCTCCATCGGAGCTGGGAACAAAAACCTAGTAAGTTTTTTTCAGGATTGCTTTTGAGTTGTTGATTGTTAGTAAAGTCTATGAAGAGCGCTCAGTGAGTTTAGTTGGGATTCAAGGTACGAGCAGGAGCTACATAATTTCGAGGAATGCGGTGATGAAGGCGAGATCTGGTTCGGAAGAAGCGCTGAAAAAAGGTTAGTGTTGAAATTTACTCAATTTTATCCTTTTAACTTTTCCATCTCAGTAGCTCCTTTAGGATAATTGATTTTGTGAAGGCAAATGTTTCAAGTGCTGCGAAGATTCTTGACTTGGGTTGTGGAAATGGCTCCGTATTGCGAAGGCTGGTATGATGTCCACATATTGCACGGATATCGTTTTGTGGTCTGAGGATTCCCACTGCTGAAGTGTGTTGCAGAGTCCAAGGACTGTAGAAATGTCAAAGTACGGTGAAAGCTGCTGTGGGGTCACATCCTACGCGAATTTCGTGCGGAGCGATGCCGCCACACGGCAATCAGTACATACTGCAAGAGCCAGCTTTATTGAACTTTTTGTGCGAAGGGGATTTGTCCTTCCCTCTTTTCGCATAGAAATGCGCCGCAGAAAGTGAGGAGCAGCGTGAAAATTTCTTCTGCAGGCCCTTCTGTCTGCATGAATTTTTGCTAGAGCCCTTTTGTGCCCCATGTTTTGTCGGCGTACTACATTTCCTATACCGACAAGTTGATCAGTGTAAAAATGGATTCATGTCTGTGTTCCGAGGTCATGTCCAAATTTATGCACTTTAGCGAAAACATGGTTATCTGAATCTGACGGGAGTGGACTACTGTCCGGCTGCCATCGAACTCGCTAATCGCATCGCGAAAGAAGAAGACCACGAAGTGGATATTAGTTTCAAGGCTAGTCGGTTAACAAGTCTAAGAACCGTCTTCCCAAAACTGAGATGTGTGGCTTTGTTGCGATGCAGTAATAGAGCTCCTGAGTAATTGACCTATTGACTCACCAACCTCAAATTTGCGTGGACAGTATTTTCAAGAAGTATCTGATTGTCTCATGTTGTTTCTCATTATCAACTTTACGAACATTTGTTTTGATTCTTGTACATTAAAGTTAGCGCTTTCCAATTACAGGTTCTGGATGTATTATCAACGTCGACGGATTCTCCTCTTGACTTATACGATGTTGTGCTTGATAAAGGCACATGGGATGCAATGAGTCTCAGTAATGATCGAAGTGGGTATCTCACATTTTCTCTGAAGAGATTCTTACAACGTTTTGCAGAGTCTCGACTTCTCACGTACAAAAGTTTTGTAACTAGATCGCTCTCTCCTTCTGGGCAGTTTGTGATTTTCTCGTGCAACTTCACAAAGTGAGTGCATCGATTCATGTAATAACTTATGTGGCTGTTTTGATTCAGTGTGGTTACACAACAGCAAGTTGTGAAATGTGATTTATCATATTCAGTTTATGTTGCTTTTGGGCAATTCAGGATTCAAAGTACATAGTAGCTTTTAGAGAAGAACTGCTTCAAATGTTCGAAGACGGCGGATGTATGAAGTTTCAAACAGAAATCCCAGCTGCGCACTCCATCACTTTTGGAGGGAGGCAAGGGGTAACATCTACTGGTGTAGTGTTCGAACTCAGCTAATAGAACGTCTTCTCCAAATCATTAAACTATTTATTTGCATCCACTAAGTTGACTTGTTTGATGTTACGGATGATTTGTTGATGAATTTTATCTCCATTTGCTTGAAAACATACTTTTTCATTTGTCGAAAAATGCCGAACACGGATGCGAGTAGAGTAGAGGCAAGCACCACCATCACAACTGAACGATAGGTGATCTAATTTGTTCAAATTCTATTGTTTTGTCTTCATCATTTTTTTGTTTGTTATTGAAGTGATCGTAGAAAAACTAACAAATACGGCCGATGTCGTCCGATCGTACTGGTAAAGTACTCATCCTTTCTAAGAATAATCTTTCATCGCATAGGCTTATCAAGTAGATCACAGAATATGTTAACGCCACTATTAGTACTATAGAGAGAATTTCCTGAAAGCAACGAATCTTGTGTTAAATTCAAAAAAATTAGCAAAGCTAAGTCACTTCGGATCCAATACGAGGTCTTTCCCATTCCTTCAATGCTTTCAACGTACGACCACTTCGGGCATATTTTTCTTGGCAAATTTCACACTGGTCTTTGTTGGACATAGCCACCCACCGAGAAAGACACCTCTCATGTATGTCACCCATCTAAATATCGAAGATAGCCGGAGTAGACACTGAATGTTTCTCACCGTTCCAGCACAAGCACAAGGTCGCACCATTTCACCACTTTCTGACTGGCAAATGCGACACGCCCTTCTTTCGAGTGACGATGAAGGCTCGCTTTCCGAAGCACATCTAAATGTTGAAGTATCTCTTTCCGAATTACATCTAAATGTTGAAGTATCTTGAGTCTGCAGAAAAATATCGGACGTCTGGAAGCTACTGGTTAGCTTATCACAGTAAGCTCAAAGCCACATTATAGGTTAGTAAAGGAAGGCCAGCTGGGCAAAAGATAGTGCTGAACATATGGGTGAAACATATAGAACATTTGAAGTTCAGGTTTTGTTATGGATGTATGAGTAAGAAACAAAGAAAATCTAAAGAAAAAAGAATCATGATTATTGAATTAACTGACCTTGTCTTTTGACTTATAATGGGCAAGGCAGTGCAAACTGTTCTATCAGAAGCGCAACGAGTGTCTGCAGTTGGTGAGTGCTGTGTTACCGAGCAGAGCATTGAAGGCGACATACGAGTGGACGCTAAACTTGAACAATTTTAGATAACAAGACGCCAAGAAAATATCTTTCTTTCAGTGCGTCCGCCCCCCCCCCCCCTTCGAGAATGGGTCGCGAAATTTTTGAAATTTACTTATAATAGTTATAAAAATGTGCAGGTGATTTGTTTATTCATGTAAATAATCAAAATGACTTTTAAAATTCCTTAAAAATCCAAACTGGCCTTGTAAAAGAGTTTTTTCGGGGCGTGGTCGCCAAGCCCCTTTTTGTAGATTTTAAGGGTTACGGGCCAAAAAAATTTTAAGAAGCACCCCAAAAAGTTTCTCGGAGTGCGTGACTAACGCCGAGCACCTTCATTTGGAAAAAAATTTTCGCCCCCCCCCCCCTCCCTGACGCCTGGGACCGCCACTGGTAGGACCCTTTTCTTCAACCACATCGGCGAAAGGAAGGCGCGGCTCCGTGACCTAATTAAGGCTAGAAGATGATCAGAGAGCATTCGTGAGGAAGGCGCAGACTGCGTCGCGGACGCGAGCAGTCGCCTCCTAGGTCATGAAGCTCCGCCTTTCAGCAGCCAGTGGGTTGAAGAAAGGATACGTGCGCATCCCTATCGTTCGCCCACAGGCGACGACGGCATAGTGCGAGCTTGCTTGCCATTGGATTACGGTTTGTGGTTCAGCTATTACTGGACACGCATACTGAGCAAAGGTTACCTTCACGTAAAGGCCTTGTGATGTTCCTCATCTGCATCGACGACACTCTGTCGAGAGAGAAAGACTAAAATGAAAAGCACTTCGATATTGTTGCAACCCATATTATTCTGCATTATTTAGTTTGCTATAGACTATCAAACGCTAGTATCAGGCGGATGCATACAAGCGCAGAGCGTTGATATTTCCATGAAGGAAGGTAGTCTGCCGCTGGATTAATGTTGTCTGTTGCTGGATTTGCAACCGTTTCTTTCGTCAGTTATGACTGCTTCTCAAGTGTAGAACTGTGCAAACCGCAAATTGTGTCAAAAGAAACATCCATCTTTTGGCGACCATAATAAAGTACAGCCAAATCTTTGTAGCTTCCCGCTATAGAGCGAAAATTCGTATTCGAATAATTTATTCGAAATATTCGACTTCGACTATTTAATAATGTTCGAATAGTCGAATATTCGATAAATTAAATTTACTGATTACTCGAATAGTCGAATGATTAGAAACTACCTTCATTTGAATATTCATTCGCACGATTGAAAAAATGGCTTGTTCAAATATGCAAAAAATTTCAAAGTTATTCGAATATTCGAAAAATTTTGAAAATTGGTCAAAAACTCGAATATTCTATTATAGCAAGAGAAAAAGGCAAACTCGAATATTCGAGTGTTAAATGTTTATTTGCGTGTTTCATATGAGAGCTTTCCTGCATATTTGAAATCGAGTAATATTCGTTCGTTCCAAAAATTTGCGGAAATCGATTATTCGCTCATTCGTTCGAAATTCTCCGAAAATCAATTACTTGATAATCGTCCATGCGATGAAAATTAGCGTTCGTTACAACTTACTTCTACTTACTAAGGTAAATTCGATTTTTTCAAATATTTGAAGATGAAGGATTTCGAATAAGCGACTATCGAATGCTATTCAAAAATTCAGATTTTTGATGATTCAAATCGAATCATTTGCATTCCAGTAATTAGTTAAATAATCGAATCATTCCATTAAGTCCACTCGGTCCAAAGTATACTACTTAGCCCTCGGGCAGAGTTCACGCGATTTGATCGTCGCGATTGATCGCGATAAGACTGTTGTAACAATATCATTGCATATCGATCTAATTGCATTTCGGTTGTGATAGTTTTCCAACACGACTAATCGTGACTAACTTCACAACCGAAATACAAGAAGATCGGCAGGCAATGAACTCGTAACACTTGTCTTGTAGCGATTGAATCGCGACGATCAAATCCCGTAAACTCTGCCCGAGGCCTTGAAGGCAGTAGGTCGGCAGAATGAGACCCGTGGCAAAACAAGGTCTCAGGCTATGAGCCCCCATGGGACTATGGGCCAAAGTTCGATCTTTCTCTGTCACTTCTAACCTCCGAAATTTCAAAGCGAAAGCAGCGCTCATCTCCTGTCCTCTCCGAACCCGCCCACCCCATGGACGAGAGAACGCGAAGCCCGTCATGGCGAAGACGCAGAGTCGTTGCGGGTCCTCATGCTTATAGCATTGCGGCTGGCGCTCTGACCGCGGAAGTCACTCGTCCATGGGGTGGGCGGGTTCGGAGAGGACAGGAGATGAGCGCTGCTTTCGCTTTGAAATTTCGGGGATTAGAAGTGGCAGAGAAAGATCGAACTTTGGCCCATAGGTTCCATTATGGGGCTCCTACCCTGTGACCTTATTTTACCACGGGTCTCATTCTGCCGACCCACTGCCTTTAAGCATTCTACGATCTATTTTGGGAGCTTTTTTGAGCAATCAAGCCTTACTTGCACTACCCTCCCAATTTGTATGATTTCTGTTCCTCTGAGTATGACTCTATTTGAGCTCGTTAATGCAGACCACCGCAGAAGCGGTGGAGATAAGGGGGGGGGGAGGGTGGTACGGTGGGTTTTTTCAAGGGGGGGGGGGGGGAGGGTTTCCAATTGCATCAACAGGCTTGACCCTGTGGCCGTATTCATCAACGAACCCTGAGAGTCAAACACCCTGGAGGGTAAGTTTAAAGGCAGTGTCCGGGCAAGATGGGGGTTTTGAGATTTCAGTGCCATGCGAGAGTGGCCCCCCTCAGACACAACATCGCGCAAGTGCGACGTCATAACGCTCGACCTAAAGCAAGAAAAACGACCGGAAAGCGGGAAAACTTACGCCTTGGGGCGGGGCCCTTCGAGCTGTCCGAATTCCTGCTATGCGGCAGAGTACGCATGCCGCCAAGTTAAAAACTAGGGTCCCGCAACGACTCTGCGTCTTTGCCTTGGTAGGGGCCGCCGAATTTCAAATTGTGCTGCTTTGGAAAACGTATGTTCTCTCCGTTTTTGCGCCTTCTAATGTGAATTTTCGGATTCAGCGTTGCGGATAACCCCTGGTAAGTGGATTTTCTAAAAATCGAATTTTTACCCGGACACTGCCTTTAACCCTTAGGGGTTTCATTGGCCGTACACATCAACAAACTTTTGAGCATAGGGTAGGGTTTATCAGGAACGCGATCAACCCGTGTCGACCAGCGAACCTCGAGGTAAATTCTACCCTTGAGGGTAGAGTTTACCCCTCGAGGTTCATTGTACCCGTATTCACGAACGTGACTCATTGTCAGGATAAAAGGCTGGCCTTGCCTTTACCTGATGTGTAGCGGGGTTACATGAGACTTACTATAATGTTTATTATACAAGTTATGTACAAAAGGGGAAGGGGAAAGGGGAAGAGGGCACCAGCTCCTGCCGGCGGGCGGAGGTCACTGCCAGAGGTTGGCTGTCATCGGCCAACCTCCTTCTCGAGCAGCTGTTGTGACTAGCTGCATCCCGACATCTCCATTCCTTCAGAAAAGCTCGTCCTCGAGCTTGTGATATGGTTGAGGTTTCGAACTGTTGTAGTGGCATCGGCATGTTCTTCCGGGTAACGTGCGTGCGTTGGAATATGCACGTAATATACGGCGAGAACATACAGATTGAAGTAGTGAGTATGAAGATCGTAAGATTAAGGGTACAGATCCAGTAGACTGCGAGCAGTCACGACCTTCACCTAGAACATCCCATGGCTTCGACTAAGATCGTCCTCGAGCTTGAAAGTAGCTGAGGGACGGTGTGGGAAACTGCGGAGAGATGCAGTTGACAATGGGGTTCCCGACATGATGAAGGGAAGGGATTGGTTGGAGTTGTAGGAAATGGAGATTAGATCGATTGATCTTTGGGATGTAGTAGTAATGCAGTTGATGAATAAGGCAAGTGAACATTTGGAGTATAGAGATTACAACGTTTAGGAGGTTATAATGAAAACTAATGAATATACGGGGTAGTAGATATGAAAACTGATCAACAACGAGATTATATCAAGATAATAGTGATAATTTTACAATATACGTAGAAAAAAAATTTTTTTCACAGCATTTGTTGAACACATAAAACATGGTTTAGCGATAATATTGCTGAGTTAAGAATTTTTTTTCATACGAACATTTTCTGTGGATAATTGCATGTTATGGCAGCCATCTCAAAAGATTTGAATCACATCTAGAAGTAATCAAAATTCAACTCTTGGCAATGTACATACAAGTATCTCAGTCCTAGCCTATCTTAGACATAGGGGCAAGTGTCGAAGTAGTGACAATGTTCGTGCTACTTTCTACACAAGGGCGAAATTTCGGACTGCTACAAAAGTTTGTTTTATACGCTGCTTGAAAAGGAACTTCTTTGGATCGCCTTTCCAAAGAAGGTAGATGTGATACGCAGCGGTGCGGAAAGTAGATTTAAATAAACTCACGCTGAGTAAGATGGCAGCAGCAAAAAAATAAAACTCTGAAAGTCGGATTTTTTTCTAAACTGAGTTGCAAAAAAATCGTCTTCCGGTCTTGCAACCAACTTCAAGACTACAATAATAAACGAAACAAACATGATGTCGTCCATCTTCTGATGTTTCCTTTTTTTTATGATTTTTTTTTAATAGTGCGTTTTGGAAGCATTAGCCGATGTACGACATAGACAATATAAAAATATAAACCAAACAAAACAAATTATACAAAAAAAAAATCAAGCACAGTTACATTTTAGCACAGAAAATTATGCGAATAGAACGCTTCCACTGCAAAAACTACGATATGTAGCTTTTGGGTTGTAAGTGTAGGAACTACAGCGGAAGTGATCCTAACACTATGTATGATAATTTACTACTAATATGCAATCTGCCAAAGCTATCTATGTTTCTTCAGTGTCCAGATCCAATACAGAAAATTCTATGGAGTGATTCCTGAATTCTGCTGAAATCTGTAAAGGAATCAGCTACCATTGTTCTCTGAAGAAAAAATTAGGATTTGGAGGACGTAGGTTGCAATCCAGACTGAAACAAGAAATATGCATTTTTTTTCTTAGCATCAGTTTCGCTGTTTTTATTTCATTTAGAAAAATACAGTCACTACTTTCGAAAAGGATCTAACGAACTGAATATTCCAGTACGTTCTTTAAAGCAGTGATCTCCTCTATTTACAAAAAAAAACTTTTTTTTAGTGTTTCAGTCTTAACTAGAACTGTTCTCTGAAAACAATCTTCAGCTACACGCATATTCCCTGAAAATATTCGTGTAGGAATGCTACGTTTGATATCGTGGGGCAGACTCAGTTTATGCAATTGCATCAAACTGGAGAAACCGCTAAATTCCATTGTTTTTACCGATAGTATGCCTTTTTTTGGATCTAAGTCATTTTGCGCATTTTGCCTTTTTTGGATCTAAGTCATTTTGCGCATTTTCTTGTAAAAGACTTTCCAAATTTTTCTCGAAGTAAAATTCGTTGAAGAACGTTTAGGGTTTTTTTATATTATGATCTTTCCTTGTGATGTGCAGAAGAGCTAAGATTTGAGAACTAATTTGAATCACGTTAGAAAATATTTTGTTCTGCATGTTCATTCAGGAAACTGGAAATCATTTGGAAAGGGAAGGAGATTCACGTCTGAATATCTATCTTTCCTCATAATTATCCTGGTGAAATAGTAAGTGATATCTCAAAAGTATGCGCCAGCAATTTCTAACATACAGCTGATTGGATGTTGACGTCGAGAAATCAAGGCTTGATCAGAGCTGTTCTCT